TATATATATATATATATATATATATATATATATATATATATATATATATATATATATATATATATATATATATTATAATAATAATTTAAAAATAATACTAAGCTAACATCCACATATATAATATATTGATATGTATACACAAATAATATATATACATATTATTTATAATTAAAATTTAATATTCATATAAATATTTAATTAAAATATAATTTATAATTAAATTAATTGTTATATGATAATTTTAATAAAATGATAACTAAAAATAAGAAAAAGATATGATAGATGTAGGTGTATGGTAAGATTGGTGGACATATTAAATACTAACGGTGTTATAACGGTGTAAGGGTAATTTTGTCCAATACAAATCAAATGTACAACAAGTAAAGCAAGATGTATATATTTTTAGCATATAAAAAAGGGACAAAAATCAAGGACATAACTTGTATTGACACTTATATTATATATATATATATATATATATATATATATATATATATATATATATATATGTGTGTGTGTGTGTGTGTGTGTGTGTGTGTGTGTGTGTGTGTGTGTGTGTGTGTGTGTACATATGTATATATGTATATATGTATATATATATATATATATATATATATATATATATATATGTATATATATGTATATATGTATATATATGTATATATATATATATATACATATATATATATATATATATATATATATGTATATATATATATATACATATATATACATATATACATATATATACATATATATATATATATATATATATATATATATATATATATATATACACATATATAATATGACATATATACATCCGTAGACTAGTTTGAAACTTTGAATCTTTAGATATTGAAATATTTGAGTATTTCAAATTTGAGTGTTTTTAATTTTTAATATTGTTTTCATGTTATTACTTATGAATTATCATTATTTCATTTATTTGGATGTGTTATTTGATTGAATGTTGAAAACAACGTCATTAAAATTGTCAAACTGCAAGTCTTCCACTGTTTTTTTGGCGCCCGCTTAGGCGCTTGGCGCTGCCCGGGCGCCCGACTAGCGCCTTGCACCTACTGCAACCTTATATATATATATATTTATATATATATATATATATATATATATATATATATATATATATATATATATATATATATAATTCAGTTCTAGTGCCATTAGGTGTGTCCCGTGCGGTTGTGCGGTTAAATCTGAGTCATTGGTCTTGCACATATTATGCGTCCAGGATTAACAAAATAAAAAAAAAATGCGGTGGCAATTTGGTAATTTTTGCATCTAGGTCAAATTTAAGGTGCATGGTTTTTGTGCTTAAGGTGAGTGGTTTGTGTGCTTAAGGTGCGTGGTTTTTGTGTGCTTAAGGTGCGTGGTTTTTGTGGTTAAGTTGCGTTGTTTTTGTGCTTAAGGTGCATGGTTTGTGTGCTTAATGTGAGTAGTTGTTGAAACTTAAGGTGCGTGGTTTTTGTGTTTAAGGTGCGTGGTTTGTGTAATTAATGTGAGTAGTTGTTAAAATTGAAGGTGCGTCAACTTGAAGCTTAAGGTCCGTGGTTTTCTTTCTTAAGGTTCGTTGTTTTCCTTCTTAAAGTGCGTGATTTGTATGCTTAAGGTGCGTGAGTTGTTGAAACTTAAGGTGCGCCATTTTAAAACCTTAGGTGCGTGGTTTGTGTTCTTAAGGTGCGTGAGTTGTGTACTTAAGGTGTGTGGTTTGTGTACTGAAGGTGCCCCATTTTTATGCTTAAGGTTAAGTTGTTTGGTTCCTTCCCGATGCGGGATTTTTTTATTATTTTTTTAAATTTTCATTGTTTTGAGCTGTTGATCTAGATTTGATCAACGACTCAAATTAAATCACATGTCATCACCTGAACAAATTACCGCACCAGAAACCCTCCATATATCATCTCATCTCATCTACTATAATAAAGCAGAAACTTTTTGTAAAATAAAAATAGGAATAAACTTCCCGCCCAAAAACCTTACCAAAAACGCAGTCTTTTAACAATGATACATTTATTAGCTTTGTTTCCTTTGCCGAGGCGGTTACTGTAACATTAGTCGTTTAGCATTCCTACATATACTTTTTTATTGGCAATTAATTTGCATTCATGAAATATAGCGGCTTTGCAATTCATATAAAGTTCAAATTACGGTAATACAACAGTTTGATTAAATATACATCGCAATCCCAATCTACGCAAACCTTTCGAATAATTAAGAGGCATCCGTTAATATAAATACATGTATTCGTTTCGAACTGAAACACTACCAGTTACATATGGCATCTACAAATTCCATCCAAAGTCGCATCAGAATGTCTCCACTCTTCATTCTAGGCACTGAGATATCACCCTACAATGTTAGGAGTGACATGAAGGTGAGAGTTGTTCGATCATATGTTGTTCCTCAAAAAAAAATAATAACAATAATAACAATAATAATAATAATAATAATAATAATAATAATAATAATAATAATAATAATAATAATAAAGGGAGCTCTATCATCAAATCCAAAGAAGTAGTCTTCCATGATTCTGAGGTATTTATTCTTTTTATAGATAATGTTATTTGTAGGAATATATCTAAAAAAAAAAAAAAAAAAAAAAAAAAAAAAAAGGAATAGTAAGGTAAACTTCTTTGGGTCTTCAGTATTAGGGTTTAAAAATGCTCACTTAAATTTTGATACATATTGATTATTTATCAATATCAGTATCTTTGAATATATTTGAATATATTTATGGATAATATTGATATTATCTAATTTGTTAATTAGATAATATCAAAAGAGTTTGAGCTTATCAAAACTCTCTATCCTACCGCTATAAATAGGGCCTTTCATTTTTATGTAATCACACATCCTAGGAAAAATCATAGAAAGAACTATAAGTTTATTCAGAGATCACAATTTAAAAATGTGATCCTGAAAGTAAAAGCCCCTCCTCCTCCCTATGTTGATGCATGTTGATCCAAACCTCTATTGAAGATCAAGCCATTTGAACCCGGAGGCCCTTCAAGAAGAACAAGCTATATATACAAGCCCTTCTTTGAAGATCAAGCCGCTTGAAACCCGGAGACCCGGAGGCCCTTCAATGGTGGAGCGTTCAAGACATCAATTGATGAATCAGAGGATCATCCAGAGACTTGTACCCACACCGCATTCATTGATACTCAATATAACTAGAATTTTGAATATTAATATATTATATTCAATTTTCTTTGTTTACACTAAGTTAAATGTATTTATATTTACATAGGAATTGTTGTTCATTGTCAAATTCCTAAGGAACATGTAGAGAAGTGGCTTACAAGGTTTATAAAAGGCAAGGTTTATGGGATGAATTTTCATCCACACAGAGCCTCAAGAAATCAAAGGAATTTGTTATGAAGCTGGAAAAAATCACAGTGATTAGAAAGACAATTAAACATTTTTGAGTAATTGTATTTTTGGACAGAGACAAATATGCCTGATGGCATATGTTCTTGATGTTGGTTACCAGTCTACTGCCATAATGCAGTAGATATTATCCATGACAATGTTGTACCAGTCTACCCGTCTACTTCTTAAGTCTTAACTATGTGCTTTTTTTTTGGATGTTATTTAACTCATATGGTTGGCAGTTTATTTATTCATACTGTTAGTGTTTTTTTTTTGTTTTTTTTTTTTTTTTTGGATTTCTGTTAAAACTAAGGGATTGATAGGTCTGGCGGGTGGAGAATAATCACCACCCGCCAGTTAGGCGGAAGCAAAATATGTGAGAACCAAAGAACAAGAGAATATATTATAGTGAAAGATTACAATCGATCGTCTCTCTTGATGTATATTCTATACTTCTATGGACCTCTATATATACTAAACTAGATACTAAATTAGTCTAGGAAACTACTAATAAGAATAGGAAACTAAGACAACTTTCCTAATATTCAACAATTTCTTTGTTGGACAAATGCAAGGGTTGCAGCTGTACTAATCTCCATGGAGATAGTTTTGAGTAATTCTGTCATCGGGCAGAGGCAAATATGCCTGATGGCATATGTACAATTTTTTTTTAGTAATCCAGTCTACTGCCATAATGCAGTAGATATTATCCTAATCTCTGTGTTGGACAAATACAGGTTTTGCAGTTGTACCAATATCTATTCAGATAGGATGTTTATTTTTTTATCTTCATGGAGATAGAATATTTTCCAAATTTTGAAATCACAGTTCTGTACACTAAGCTGTTTTGAAAAAATGGTGCATCAGATTGTAAAGTCATCATTTGCAAAGGGTTGAAAGTTAGTATGATTTCTGAAAAAATAATTTAATACATGAACAAGAAATAAAAAAAGAAAAATAAGTGTATAAAATTTACTAATATAAGCCAGCAGTGTAAAGAAAGGAAATGAAGTGGGAAAAAAAATGTACCGGGTTGCCATATTTGCAAATTTCTCAAAAAAAAAATAAATAAATAAATAAATACACTGTTGATATTATCTTGACTTGGATTGTGATAGAATACACACTTTTACTTGGATTCTGCGGTAAGTTTACATTTCTGCAAGTATAAAGCTCAACAAGTATTAATATTCCAAAGTAAACACTGTCATACTATCAAAATTCTGATAAGAGTTTGACAGCTATTATAAAAGAATTTGGAAGGAAACTCAGTAATATATGAATATTATAAAATGTGGAAACAATTCATGGTTTTCCAGTACCTATGATGCTTTCTCCCAATACTTCAACACTACCCAGAACTATCAATGTTTCAAGTAATTGAAAAAAAAAAAAAAAAAAAAAAAAAAAAAAAAAAAAAAAACAGTGCGTAAGACATAATTTCAAGCTTATAATACCCAAAACAAATAGACTGATCCTCGTTTAACCATAACTTAATGGCATAACTTACTTTGAACAATAATGAAGATGTAATACAAATATTCATCATAAAATAATGTTCTACACTTTAAGAGATCATATGAAATTAATATTAAAAAAGAAGTATATACAAAAGGTTTGCAATTATGGTTTTATGGTTTGCAATTACGCATCTATGTCGTTAGATTTGAAAAGTAATTTGAATTGTAACTGATGTACAAGATTAACACACATATGTAGAATAACATCAGTAATTCTGTAGCACTAGAATAGAACCAGTATATACATAAATCTCATTATATGTCGTATGAATAATCAAAAGGTTTTGAAGCATAGTATGAAGATAAAAAATAAATAAATAAAGCACCCTAGATTAAGAAAGTATGTCCTATCACAACGAGATTGTGGATTCAAGCTAAGGCATCATAGATAGTGGATTCCTTAGCTTCCATTAATACCCATCTTTCAGAAAAAATGCACTATTATGATGATGATGATACTGGAAATAAGGTTCTAAACTTTGGCTTACAGTGAATATGTGCAGAAATCAAAGGAAAAAAAGTGTGGTGCATTGTAAGGTCTGAAGACTGAGTTCCATAGGAATTTAAATGCAAAGTGCAAAGAGTTTCAGTGCACCTTTTGGTTGTGAAAAAGCTAAGAGAAAATAGGAGAGTTTCATATTATCATGATCACCATCAGGGAAAAAGCATGCATCCTTCCTCAAGAATGGCGATGCCTCCCGAAAGGCAGTCGTTTATGCAAGCTAGCTAAGTGGGAAAAACCATGGAGACTCGGGACTTGTCCTCTCGGCTGATGCCAAGCCAAGACTAGACCTGCACGACCGGTTCATAGAAGCAGTAAATCAACTCGGTGGAGCAAACAGTAAGTATACATACATACATACATACATCTCAGTTTCAAGAAGAAAAAGATGGAAAAGTAGCAGAACTTCATTCATCTAATTGAACCCAACATGGCTGCCTTGCCTCAATTCAGGATCTACTCCAATCAAGCAAGTAACCCAAGCTAAGGATGAATAAGTAATATATATATATATATATATATATATATATATATATATATATATATATATTTACAGACATTATGTTTTAATGATTAACTAATTAATGACAGACAACCTTAATCATGAGAAAATCTTTGCAGGTCAAATCACCTGAAGCTAGTTCTGTTTAGGTGTCACATAATTTCTCTCCTAGTTGTTTGTCTATACACCACAAACCTTCCTCAATAAGGCCATTCATCTTTCATCACTACATTCCTCTATGCCATTAAAAAGTTTGAGTCCTAAGGATTAAGCAAGTCATTAGTAAGCAAGAGCTAAAAGTGAAGATGAGATATCGTTTAACGACATCTTTAAAAGGAACAAAGCTCTAATAATGATCAGATCAATAGAAGTGATATGATTGATGAGGAAGTTAACTCTAAGGATGGAAGCTTTAAACACTCCAGCCAAAAACAAAACATATAGAAATATCAAATTGACTGCGCATTTCATTCAAATAAATCAATGATCATTGGCTCAAAAAAATTAGAAATACAGAGAAGAGCTCAATATCAGATCAGATGCAAAAAATGAACCTAGCTAATTTGGTCAATGAAAATTCAAAAATTGAGAAACTGATTGACGAATCAGATCAGATGAAAAAAATAAACCTAGCTAATTTGGTCAATCAAAAGTCAAAATTTGAGAAACTGATTGACGAACCCTTCCTCATCCAATCCATCAAAATCCCCAGTAATTTCCTGCGGAGTAGAATCTGTTACCATCCAAGGATTCGAAGCCGCCGTAACTTCCACCACCGGAGTAGAACTGGCGTTTTCTTCTTCTCCTTTGTCTGTTTCTTCGGATGTTAACAGTGATTCCTCCATGGCCAACAGCTTCTCCATTTCCGAAACATTACAAAAAATGTATGGGTTTCCTGCAGGAGAGAAGACAACGGCAGCGACTCGAACTTGGGGGAAGGGGCGGCCGAGCTCTGCCGCCTTCTTGAACAGCCCCCGCCCTTCGTGAAACAGACATTTCGGGCCTGCAAACACTCATTTTTTTTATCGATCTTGGCCTTGCCTTTTCCCATTGACAATTATTTCGAAAACTATATGAGTCGCTGATTCTTTGGAAAGCTGTGTTTCAAAACAAAGAGCATTCGAATTTAATCCGGCTAAGGGGTTGGGCGCTGGAGGAATTAACGGTCCTATGGGCATAGTAGTTCATTTGAAATTTTGGAGGGATTAACGGTAGAGCAGATAAGGGGGCAATTTCACGGCGCGGAGAGGGATCAACGGGCAATTAATTTGAAATTTTGGAGGGATTAACGGTAGAGCAGATAAGGCCGCAATTTCACGGCGCGGAGAGGGATCAACGGGCAATTAATTTGAAATTTTGGAGGGGTTTCCGACTTCCTTCCGGGCTCGGGCAATGCGGGGAGGGTTTAACGGTTATCTGATCTAGACATTTTGGCAAAGCAGATAATTTGGAGGAATTATTATTATTATTATTATTATTATTATTATTATTATTATTTTGAAAGGTCATTTAAGCATGGTTCAAGCAAGTGTTAATATTGGATATCATTATTTCGGATTTTACATAAACAAATAATTTATTACAACATGTCAAAAATATCTAATCATAAATTTTTTTAAAGTTCGAGTGAGTGTCTCTTAAATCTTTATTTTTATTTTTATTTTTAGTTTGAGTATTTTTTTTTAAAGTCAAATAGAGGGGCGGACCCAGTTGAAAAGGAAAAGTTTTTTTTTTTTTTCTTTTTTGTGACAAAGGAAACTGCAGGTAAATTCTGTCTTATCGTAACTGGCAAAAAATAAGAAAAATTCTTCTTCTTTTTTTTAGTTTAAGTATTTGATTGCATTCTCCTAACATATTCAATGATTTATTTGATGATTATCCTTAACTATTTTTAGCTGCTTCAATAAATGCTAATGAAATTATCATTCAAAAAACATAAATGATACGGAGTATTATACATCTAAATGTATAAATAAATAAATGTTTCATATTAATCGAACTCATCACAAAATGTCTTCTACTTCGATTACTTCTCTTAGGCTACTAAGTACAAAATGAGTCATTTGTGTCTTTACTTAATGACAATACGTGTCTTTACTGGTAAAGACGCGTACGACACAAACTCGAAATATGTCAACTTTACACGTCTTTACTTGGTAAAGCTTAAAATTGGACTATATGCATCTTTACTAAAAATAAAGACTATAGTTATATATTTTGTTTAAAAAAATATTTGTATTTATTAATACCATGATTTTTAAAAAAAAATAATTTATTTGTATTTATTAATACCATTTATAATAATTAAATTACCATTCAATATGAAATTCAATTGCACAAACAACATTTATATAATTCAAATACAAAATATAAATGTTTCATATTGATCGAACTCATCACAAAATATCTTCTGCTGTAAAATAATAATAAATAAATTAATCAATCAAATCTCGACAAGACAAAACTATTTTGATTATAATTATTTTAAAATATATTACTATGTAAGTGGATTATAATAAAAGAAACATAAATAAGATGAACATTTGGCAATCTAGTTAACAAAAACTTAGAGTTAACCTGTTAAAAATGTTAATTGCTCTTTTTTCCTGAGTTCAATAACTTATTTGCTCTTTTTTTTTTCCAGTTCAATGGCTTATTTTGGGGTTATTTGGACCACGGGTAGTTATTTTTTAAAACATGAAGGACCATTAGAGATCATTTAAAACTCGGATGACCATAGCTGGTAAATCGCTAATACTCGGAGGACCATTGGAGGTATTAACTCTTCTCTAATTTATATTCTTACATTTTACATTCCTTGTAGTTTTGAATTCGATGTTTATTATTACAATTGCTTCTTATGTTTACATTTCTACTCTGTGTAGTTAAATATACATAGGGATTTGGATTGAACTTCCTAGTATGGGAGTCTATGTGATTTGAATTGTCAAAAATTAGGTCTTGTATTGTCTTATTCTTGAACTTGGTTATAATTTGGGTGAAATTGCATTGACTCTTCCATAGTTATGGCTAAATTATGTAAAAAATATTTGGAATTGGTGTTTCACCTATGAGAATATGGTTACATCATAGCTATACCTTTTATATTTCTTACTCACCTATAAGAAAAATCTCTCTCTCTCTCTCTCTCTATCTCTCTCTCTCTCTCTCTCTCTCTCTCTCTCTCTCTCTCAAAATAAATTAAAAGGTGGTAAAATATTTCCGCGACGTAACTCTTATGATATGTTGATTGAATCAAGATTTAACTCTTCGGTTCAATCAGTCGAATAGGAAAATTTTTCAAAATCGTATACAAGTCTATTCACTCTCATCTCGACTCCTTAGCCCCGCTCGCAGTTTACCTCCACAGTGACTCTAAGGCGGGATCCTATGGGCTTAGGATTAATCTGACAAAGTTGGAATGACCGAAATTTTTAAAAAAATAAAATTTTTTAAAGTTAGAATATTTTTTTTTTTGAGTTAATTACCAATTTAGTCCCTCGACTATGAGGATTTCACCATTTTGGTCCTTGACTTTCAAAATCGACCAATTTTGTCCTCAACTATGAAAATGTTAACCAAAATGGTCCTCAGTCTGTTTTACCGTCAAGTTTCAAGGGTAAAATTGGAAGTTCCTTCTTCATCTTCCCGAACTCGTTCTCATCCTCTCTACTTCTCATTCTCCATTTTCTTCTTCCTTAAACTTCTCTCCCTTCTTGCCCTCTCTCCCGCCGTGACCATTCGCGACAAGTTTTCGAGCGAAAGCGATAAGATTAGTGCCCTGCTTTCTTCTACCTCTTTTGATGACGAAAGTGAAAGTGAAAGTGAGGATGAGCTTTTTGATTTGGGGAATTCTCAAGAGAACATAATCCTGTTGGAGGAATCTCTATTGCGTTTTCAAGAAATTCGGGTCGGATTCATAGAGGAAAAATCAGCTGATTCAGCAATGGAGGAGGGGAGATTGGAAGACAAGGATGCGGCAAACGACGGCAAATCGAGGGATGTGGCGGCCGATGGGAATCACGACAATGGCGGTGGAGGCAGTGTAGAGAGTCAACGACACCTAGGTGACGACCGCCGCTGCCACCAGA